AGAGAGAGAGAGAGAGAGAGAGAGAAAGAGAGAGAAAGAGAGAGAAAGAGAGAGAAAGAGAGAGAAAGAGAGAGAGAACATAATTGGTAATTGGATTATAATTTATAATTCGTGTGATTGTATGCGATTTGCAGAGTCATAAACAGAGCGCCTGGTCTTAAACTAGTGGTCCAAACACTACTATCATCGCTGAGACCCATCGGAAACATAGTATTGATTTGCTGTACATTTTTCATTATATTCGGTATATTAGGAGTTCAGGTATTAATGCGATTGAAAGTCGCTCTGAAAATCACTTTCAAATGAATTATTTATGACTTGTCTATCGATTTCTATACTTTTTTCTTTTTCTCTCTCTATGTCTATAGCTATTCAAAGGAAGTCTATATTATTGTGGTTTGTATTATGTTTTTCATATAAACAAGTGATTTGTTATAATTATTGGCCGCTAATTATCTGCTGATTGTCTGTCACTGACGTCAACAGAGGGACCAAAAGCCAAATACGTTAGAAATAAAACTGAGTGTATGTCCGACCCTAGGAATCGTTGGCTTAATAGGAAGTATAACTTTGACAACTTGGGACAGGTATGTGTTTGTTTGCACAGTACTATATGCGTGCAATTATATAATTAGCAGAATCATAATTATTAAAGGGAGTTAGGCATGCATTTAGCTAGTGTTTTGGGAATTATATAAATTTTCAAATAAAATATTATATTTTCATTTAATTATATTTTGTTGATTCCCTAATGAATGCATCAATGAATTCATTAAACACAAAAACTTTGTATCACAACCAGTCATATCCAATAAATACACTTAACATTAAATGGGTTTACTCTGACCATTGGTGGACAGGCATTGATGTCGCTGTTCGTATTGTCATCAAAGGACGGTTGGGTAAACATAATGTACACGGGTTTGGATGCGGTGGGTGTGGACCAGCAGCCCATCGAGAACTTTAATGAGTGGCGGTTACTGTACTTCATATCGTTCCTGCTTTTGGTGGCATTCTTTGTGCTCAATATGTTTGTGGGAGTAGTCGTCGAGAACTTCCATCGATGTCGTGAAGAACAGGAGAAGGAGGAGAAGGCCTTCCGTGCGGCCAAAAGGGCCCGAAAGCTCGAGAAGAGACGCAAAAGTAAGCCTTATTTAAGCACTCAATTTGGTGGCGGTTTTTTGGTCAATGGTTTTTGTTTTTATAATAACTTTGTTTAATTACACAAATTTGCATACATAATTTTATGTAAATAGTTTAAATGTTTTATTTTCATTAATTAGTAGCCATTTTGCTAAAAGAGTTTTTTGCCATATGCAGTATTACCGTATTCTTTAATTTTATTTAAATAATTTATTAACTTCTTTAAATTTACTAATTAGTACTGTATATACAGTACTAGAAATTTTTTATTTAGTATGCAAATGTGTGATAAGTGTATATGCTGTTTAAGTTGCCGAATTACTTTTACATGAATTAATAATAATTTAACACACTATGTTTTTGTTATATTCAATTGTAGACAAACTTATTAAACTATTTTGTTGATTAGCTTTTATCAAGTATTTATTCATAACTTTAATTTGTATAACTTTCATAACTTCATAACTTTATTGATTAAAGTATTACATAAACTCAAAATGCTATTTTAAATAATTTTATATTTGATTTTAATAGCACGTTAAATGTTATATAAATGTTTATATTAGTTATTAATTTGATATTTAGTAAATAAAAATTATAAAAATTGTTGCAATAAAATTAATTGATTTGCACCCTATCCACCCTTTCCCTTTGTACAGAGATGAGAGAACCTCCATATTTCATCGGTTACGGGAGGACCCGGCTATTCGTGCATAAGATAGTGACGGGAAAATACTTTGATTTGATAATCGCTGCTGTGATAGGGCTTAATGTGGTCACAATGTCTTTGGAGCACTACCTCATGCCTCTCGTGAGTCCAACCATTATATGTCCACTAATTATCTCGATATCTATAATCAAAGTTATATTTAGCCATAAATCTGTTTAATACACAGATCTTTATTTCCGTTACCAGTAAATGGATATGAATTTAATAATTAGTGTTAAGACCAGAAGTTATTTTGTATATCATTTGATTAGTATCTGGTATTTAACGCCATTATCTGTGTGTCATTATAATCCAGGAACTGGTGTACACGTTGAAGATGTTTAACTTCGTGTTCACCGGCGTATTCGTGATCGAAGCCATTATGAAGGCTATGGCTCTGGGGGTCCGGCGTTACCTCAAAGACAAATGGAATCAATTGGATGTCATAATTGTGATGCTCTCCATACTGGGCATCATTCTCGAGGAAATGGAGTCTACGCTCATACCCATCAACCCGACAATCATACGTGTGATGCGAGTCATGCGAATCGCAAGAGTGCTCAAGTTGTTGAAGATGGCTAAAGGGATCCGACAGCTGTTGGACACCGTTATGCAGGCCTTACCACAGGTCGGAAATCTGGGGCTTCTCTTCTTCCTCCTGTTCTTCATATTCTCTGCGTTGGGAACCGAACTCTTCGGACGATTAGGTCTTATGAATCACTTTTTTATCGTCATTTTCACGGCAATGACAGTCGACTCTCAGAAATATAACCTTGCACCTGTAGACACTATCGAGATCATGATCTAATTGTTTAAGTGTGCCAGGGCAATTGAGTTTGTGTCAAGGTTTGCGTATAACCTCATGAAATATTTGATAGGTCAAGGAGTATGCTATATAGAGCACCGGCTATTCCGTACCGCATAATAATGCCACGGCCTATTGCCATTGAAAATGCTTTATACACAGAGCTGTGTATATATTTTTAATGCAATTCATATGACTATATTAGTTACTAATATTATATCCAAAATATTGTGCACAAAATTGAGAGTTGACTGTATTTACTATTACTTATTAAATATGATTTCCGCTAATTTTTATTGTATTAAATATATTCATATAAACCACAGAATGTAATGAAGACAACCCATGTCAGGGATTGGGTGAGCATGCACACTTCCAGAACTTTGGAATGGCTTTCCTCACGCTATTCCGTGTGGCCACCGGTGATAATTGGAACGGTATTATGAAGGTATACCCCTTACACCATACATTCACTTGTAATAAGCTTTAAAGGAAAACGAAAATTTAAAACTAAGATAAAATTGATATGAAAAGGTCTGACAAATGAAATACTACACACATTATATTAGACACCTTTTCATATGTAAACACATAGGATAGCATGAAATCTTGAATCCCAGAATATAGCCCAGAATATAGTGAACCCCAGAATATAGCCTCACCTAACAGTCTGTCCACCCTTTAGGATACATTACGTGACAAATGCGACGCCACTGAGGACTGTCTGGTGAACTGTTGCATATCGGCGATCATAGCCCCCATGTATTTCGTGGTGTTTGTACTGATGGCTCAGTTTGTTTTGGTGAATGTCGTGATCGCTGTACTCATGAAACACTTGGAAGAGTCGCACAAACAGATGGATGAGGACGAAGACTACGAGATAGACCTCGAGATCGCCAAAGAGATGGAGGCCGAGCAGAGGGCCCTCCGGGACGCCATCGACCGCAAGAAACGGGAGCGACAGCTGAATATACGGCGACCGCTCACGAAGATGGCATCCCTTCCCAACAATTTCCAGTTTTCCTGCGAAGAGCTCGATGTTAGTGATAGCGATGATGAGGGCGGGGGTGAGGGGGCGCCAGAACCCAGACCTGAGCCCCAGACCATGTCCTACAGCAGGAGCTCTGAAGGCTTGATATTAACGATCGACTCGAAGGCTGTGGTCAATGATAGAGATGACAATCCCGTGAAGAATGTGTGGCAAACATCGGGTGATAATAATAATAGACATCCAGTGATAACCATCGAGAGTGACGGCGACCACGAGTTGGCCGCGGATGACGCGACAGAGGTGCGGTCACCGCCACCCGAACTACTGGTTCCCAAACAGGTGTACAGAAAGTTCTCGGACTTTATGGACGAAGAGTCGACACAACTGTCCCAATGTCTGCAGCCGTCGTATCCGGAACTG